CAAATTCTTGTATTTAACCAAAATTTACCATTTGAAATCTACGTTTCGTAGGGCATCCCTATGCTACCATTTGTATCCCACCTACAAAGCTGACTTTGTAGGTGGGATTGTTTCTTCAAATGGGGGGAACCATCTATGAGCACAGCACAAGAACTATTTGAATCTAGAACAAACAGAGCTGTGGGCAATATTTAGAGGTATGGAATTTGAATCTGTTAAATTTAAAGAAATGATTGTTATGATTGTTAAGTCAGTGTAATAGTCAAATGTGTATGTGCCATTTCCTCAAATAGGTCTGCAACTTTCAAAAGTAAGCTTCCTATTCAGGGAGTTTTTGGCTTTTGGGCCTGTGTCTGTCAGTAGAGAATAGTAGAATGGCAGACCAGAATAACAATACTCCAAGTACTTCACACTGCTTTACATATTGCAGTGGTGAGAGTACAGGTGTTTGTGTGCTTTTGTCGGTGTTATCACTCACGATTTGCCCCTAATCAGAATAAAAAATCAAAACCACCATCAAAACCAACATCGTCTAGCTCCATATGACCAGCTGTAATGCTCGGCCATATCGCTTCCTAAAAAATAGACTTGGTCCATCCTCCAAAGATTATCATTTAACAACTGCACAGGAACAGCTTTCCATCCGGCTCCGAGGGATCAATACATTTGTTTCCCTTCCAAAAGCCGATTGAGTCTGCCTCTGCCAGTCACGGGTTATGTAAAGAGGGAGGTCTGGGGTCTGAGTCTGTGCTGCCGTCTGCTCTGAACATATACGATTAGAGATGCTCTTGCACTGAGCATAGCATTGCTGCTGTTTGTTGCCTGGCCTCCTGCCTGGCCCGCGTCCTGTCACACAGGATTACAGCACCCGTTGACAGAGGCGTTGTGCTGTGTGCCACTGCACCCACTGCTTCACGAGTGAGCCGGCCATTTCCCCCCGCCCGCCCGGTTTGACACCAGGTTGCTGACTTGGGTCAAAGTAAGGCGATTACAAGGAACACGGAGGTAATTTTGTACTCATCCTGATCCCATTGCATCTGCTTAAAGCAGCTGCCAGCACAGAGGTTGTCTTTATACATAAGGCACATTTTATGTGATGTGTGTTATTTAATACATTGCCCATGAAATCCCTATTACAGCCCTCTTTTAATTCTGCACAGTACACCTTATTACCCGTATCAGCCAATTCAAAGCAAACACTTGAAGGATGCTAACAGTGAAAACAAGACACAGAATGAACATATAAGATTGCACAAAGAGAGAAGAAGACAGGGCATTCCGTATGAAAGCCTTGTCCTTGGCATAGACAAACAACACAAATAACACGGTAAGATTTCCGTCCTACCAACACACTCCACTTCCTGTGACAACCTCTGATTGTGCTGACGGGCATTTCAGCCTCTGTCTGCACCAGCATGCCATCTGAGGGATCAGTCTGTAATTATGTTGAAAGAGAGTGGTCACGGTGTGTCAGTCAGTGTGAGGCCTCTGTTCTAATTGGGAGGGAAGTAGGTTTCTCTCAGAAGCTGCGCTGGCATCAACAAAGACCCAACCTTAAAAGGGGTAGCCCTTGATCATTTTATGAATGCTATGATCTTGACATAAAAATCTGCATTGAATGTCAACAAGACTACAAGGCTAACACTACAGCGAGATGAATTGCTGAGTTTCTCTACCTTCCATGTAAATGTCATATGCCCTAGAAGGATCAAACCCGGGATAAGACTCAAAATTGTAAACATACTTAATGCAAAGCTTGTCCAGAGGGAGGCACTGAACCATTTTTTGCATAAAACTGTAAACTTTTGCGATGTGGCCCTTTGTTTACACAAAACCTTTGAAACTGGGTTTCAGACTGCAATGTTTAGGATACGCTGTTACCATTGCTGTGTAAACTGGCAGTAGGCATTTGCTATGAAAATGGTGGGCTCCACTTTGTGCATGAGTATTATGTTTTCAGCCAAATAACCATGCCTTGACTCTGTTACCTGGCCTTTGGTTTCACCGTAGAGTGCAGGTATCACAGTTTCTTTAAAGTGATTTTGTGTGCCACGGATTGGTTGATTCTCTTCCCTGTCTCCTCAGCATTGGACGGCAAATTGCCTGACAGCGCCTCTGCAATTCTTGCTGATAAGCTGTGCTCGCTGTATTCTTTATGGTTGCAGACGGTAGCTCAGGGTAAAAACAACTAACGTGGTTCGTCAGATTCATTGTATTACCAAAGTATTTCATTTTTGTGAGGCAGTTTACAAACTGCATGCGTCTTTGTCCAGTTTGTGCTCCCAGCAGTCTGAAGTATGCCCACATCCACTTTCAAAATGCACTGATTTCTGCCTCCCTCCATATAAAACACATACAAGTAACGTGTCTTACTTTGTCATTGTGTTGCTGTTTAGTTACTTTCTGCCTTTCATCTTTCCAGCCTCTTGTCTCCGGCAGCTTGTCATTAGATTGGTGTGTGATTATCTCAATTCAGAGAGGTTATTGTTCGTCAGTGACACTGTCAATTGGTAGAAGAGTGAGGCTCCTTTCTATGATCCTCCACTTGTTTATTGCTGCTGCTAAGAAGGGGAAGCCCACTCTCCTCCTTCATTACTCTTCTCTCTGTCCTCACAGTGTGTCACCACTGAATAAATTTCCTGCTTCTCGCTGCAGTCAGAGGCGACTGAGCCAGAAGACTGAGGGAAAGCAGGGGAAAGAGAGAAAGAGAGTGAGAGGAGGGAGTGAAATATATTTTCAAGTGCCACAGGCTGAGGACAGGCTGAGGACAGCCTGGAGCTGAAGGCCAGACCGGCACTTTGTCTTCCAAGGAGAGCCTAGATTTATCGCCCGTTGTGTCTGCGCTGATAAACCATGCCCACAGTTATTTTCATTCTTGTTTTGCAGAAAAACAATTAGATGGCATTAGTTCCTCTGGGAGTAAACAGGGTTGTCCAAGGGTAATCTTGTGCTCCCTGTGGTGTGGCTCATGTCAGTTTTCAAATCTCAACTTTTAATTTTGCTGAGGGAAGGACCGTCCTAGCTTAGTCATAAGCAAACTATTGAGCAAGTATTTCAAGATGTATTTAGACTGTAGTCTGGAGCTGTATCTACATTACTCCCTAACAGCACATGTGAACAACAGAAACATTCCTTCCTCTCTGCAACATAGCTGTGTGCACTAGATAGATTCCTGGTTCCTTGCAACCCAATAGTTTCTTCTTATTATAAAAGCAAGGTCAGATCATATACAGCACCACAACTATGATGTGGTAATGGCCTGATGAGTATTTTTTTTCTGCTTGGCACATCCTTAATGTTTGGAGGCTTATAAAAGAAAATTTTTTTGAATGGTCAATCATGGAGAAGGGGCTGCATAATTCTGCATAAAGTAACTCAAAAGTTCGCATACATGTATCAACTTGAGGGAACCAATTCTGTAAAAATAATTCGGTCCTCCCTTCAGTACTAGTTGCAATTAGTGGCACTATCAATATAGAAAGAGGCACTCCAACAATATTATGTGTTCAATAAATATAATTTTCGTTACGTAAACAAGAACATCACCAAGGTATCTTGTCATTATGCAATTGCATTATGGGAATTGGAGGCGTCCGTGTTTGTGCAGCTTACTT